TCTCTCTCTCTCTCTCTCTCTCTCTCTCTCTCTCTCTCTCTCCCTCCCTCCTTCCCTCCCTCTCTCTTTGTATTTTGTACAGGGTCTGCAGGGTCTCCAGGGTCTCCAGGGACTTATCAAGTAGATCAAACTCACAGTGATTCTCCTGTTTTCAGCCTCCAAAGCACTGGGATTACAGGTGTGGGCCACCACACCCAGGCTCAGTTGCCATCTCAGCGTGCCACAGGGGTGGGGCTAGCACTGGTTTGCTTATTTGTTTTGGGAACTGTTTTTTCTCTGAATTGCATTCTGGTTTTTACTTATTCCCACCATTTGTTCTGGATGCTCCCCCAAGTCATCATGTTATGACAGAGAGGTATTCTGAGATGGCTGAATCTAGAATTTGTGATTGGCTCATGGTCCAAGGCTGTGCTAAGGTCAGGTAACCTGAACCACAATATAAGGGCTAGAGATTTGGTGTATTGTTGCAGGCCTGTAATCCCAGGATTGGGGACCTTGAGACAGGAAGATCACTATGAATCTGAGCTGCATAGTGAGACCCTATACTCAATAAATAAGATATATATATATATATATATCAGAAAGAGACTTGTTCACTCTCTCTTCTTCCCTGTTTCTCTTGCCATCTCTGCCTGCTAGGAATTTCTCATACGTGGCTCCATCCTGCTTTGATGCCCACTGAGGATGGACAGCACATTCTACATAATGGGTGCTGGATAAACCTTTCCTCCTTTAAGCTAAGGTGTTGGGTGACGTGCCTGGGCAACAAGAAATAGAAGTAAGATGCCCGTGGAGAGCCTCCTGCTACAGCCTCCCAAGTCCTGTAAATCTAGGAAAATGCCATTATATTCAGTTTAGAAAGAAATTGTAGTAAATGCAACAGACTCTGGAGAGTGACTTTGGGCCAAGGAAGAGTAGGAAAAGAAGTGCATGCTGCAGAATGAGGGGAGGGCACCATGCAAGAACAAAGAGAGGGAAAAGAAAAGACTGTTCTTTTTATGTACTTTTGTTCTTTTTGATATAGGGTCTCACTACGTAGTGCAGACTCGTAGTGATTCTTTTCTCTCAGTCTTCCCAGTGCTGGGATTACAGCTTGCACCACCATGCCTGGTTTCAAGGCCTGGCTCAGTGTACCTGGGGCTCTCATCCTGGCATGGTATTTGCTAAGACTGTGAAGCTATCTCCCCAGCTTCTGGAAAAGACATTAATAACGATTATGAAAGTGGAAGAATTGACCCCCTTTAAACCGCTACAATTTTATGTACTTTTCTCCTAGCTTGCCTCTCTTTCTTTCTTTTTTTCTTTCTTTCTTTCTTTCGTTCTTTCTTTCTTTCTTTCTTTCTTTCTTTCTTTCTCTCTCTCTCTCTCTCTCTCTCTCTCTCTCTCTCTCTCTTTCTTTCTTTCTTTCTCTTTCCTCCTGAGACATGTTCTCCCTATGTATTTCAGGTGAGCATTATCTTTTCTGTGAAGTCAGATTTGCTGAGACCTCAAGGTTATCCTCCTTCCTCAGATTTCTGATTACTTGGAAAGTAGGTTTTTGCCAACACTATAGCCTCTGCACCAGGTTTGAAATTAGAAGGGCCTCAAATTATATACTATGTGTTGGATTTTTTCATAGGCCTGTGTGTATAGTAGGAATGTGATGAATTTATTGGGAATACTGAGTCTAAAATAGGTTTGAAACTACAAGATGACAAAGCAGTGGGCTGGTGCTGGGCATGTAGCTCAGAGGGAGACTGCCTGCCGGGCACAGGGAAATTCCTGGTTATTCCTCCCCAACAGAAAACAATAGAGAATAGTGAAATAGAGAGTTGCATGCCCGGGAATGATGGAAGTCTGACAGCATGAGCCAAGAGAGCCACTGTTCTAATTCAACCTGAATGCAACTTCACTACATCCATCAAAAAAACACAAAACAAAGCAAATAATATACCCTAAAAATCCAAGCCTAGAGATACTATTAAAAGCAAATGCTGTGCATTTAACTGTTAAAACCACATCAGTCTCTTATTAAGTCAAACGCTCCTAAAAGGCAAAAATAGAATAATACACTGAGGATGTAGAGTACCTCAATTCAATACCAGTACCACCACATACAAAAAAAATTGCAAGGTTATGACAGTATTAGAAAACCAATTAAGCCATCCCACAGAGAAAGTAGTTTTTTTTTTTTTTTTTTTTGGCTAACTTCAGGATGCCGTAAGGGTGGCTCTGGCACAGCTTCTGGGAATCTAACCCCAGTCCTTCGCACCTGACTGCATTTGCCCAAGCATCGCTTTAAACGACTGAGCCATCTGCAAAGCCCCCAAGCCACACTACAGAAAGCAGAAGAGAAATCTGTCTATGGCATCTGGACTTGGAATTGCACAGGTCACGTGCCAATCAGCACGGCAGAGAGGAACGACTGAGCCCGGAGACATGCTCAAAGCTGAGGTCCACAGAATTGGGCCCCAGAAAGTCGGGGAGGGCATCAAGGAGCTGGGTATTTCTCCTGGTACAGCATGAATGAACAAACACAAATGATTCCTGTTATCAGGTCCCAGGGCAGGAAGACTTTTCTTTGAATGAAGCTAAGAAACTAAGTGTAGTTGGTGCAACAAAGCTGTTGAGACTCTTTGCATCCCAGTAGCACTTTGGAAAGACATTTCCAGAATATGATCCATCCATAGCCAGTGGTCAGCATTTTTAGTCTGAACAAGAATAATATGAGGCTGAAGAAGCTAGTTTGAGTAAAAATAAATTCAAGAATTCAGGAATACTAGACCTAAAAGATCTAGATGTGTTAACTGTGTGTGGTGGCACATGCCTGTAATCCCCACACTTGGAAGCTATGGCACAAGAAATATTGAGAGTTCGCAAACACCCTGTGATACAAAGTGAGATCAAGCCAGCCTGAGCTGCATAGGAAGATCTTGTCTCAACAAGATAAAACAAACAGACAAAGAAACAAACAACAAGTAGAGGGCTTTGAGTTTATTCCGTGTTCTGTGGTGCTGTCTAAGGGTACCCTTGTTTAGTGCCGTGTTTCATTTTTTTACAGTATGGTGTCACTTCTGCCTGAAGAAATGCCTGTTCCTCCAGACCCTGATCATTAAAGTACTTTGTCCCCACAGTTAAAGAGTAAATTATAGGCCTACTTGATCCACCCATCACCAGTGTCAATGATATTTATATCAGGTTAAAACTAAATGTCCAAGGGAAAGAGTATTTCTCTCAACTCTTAGAATGTTCCAGGCCTTAATCTTCCAGACCATGGCACCAAAAGATTTGTCATCACAGCTGCTTAAATGGCTTTATTTCCCATGGAAGCTTCTCAACTGTTTCTTAGACCTTTGGTCACCAGTGGCCTCCCAGTGCAGACACATTCCCTATCAAAGTCGTGCAATTCTCAACAGAACCATGTCTCAGAGAGTTGGTTTCTGAAATAGACTTCAAGTGGGCAAACAGATTAATCCAAAACACAGGCACAGAAATGAGGAGGAAAAAATTTAGCATAAATGTAAAAGCTTTTAATCTCTGCTTTCTAGCATGTTAGGGCTCGGGATCACAATTGAAATTCTAGCTCATGCATTCAGCAGGAATTGGTCTTGAAACAAAAGTTCTGCATTTAAAACCCAGTGGAAAGGTGCTGTGATGAGTCCCCATTACAAGAATATGTTAAGAAAGGTGAGAAAGTCCAGGAAACAGGAAAGGAATATGTGAGTAGAGAAAAGTAAAGGATGGGAGGGAATGAACAATTTAAAGTATCTCTATTTCTGCCATGAGTTCTGAGGAAAACTGCACTGATTCAACAACCCAGGATACTTTCTCCTCAGTTAGTGCAGGTTCATCAGGTCTGAGGTGAAAATCAGGTAAGTGATCATGGGTAAAACCAGATGATTCACACGCAAATGGCATTATTTCTGATCATTCCCTTACAACTGTCCATGTGTTCTTATGAAGCCTGAACTGACTTCTAAGAAGTGAAATTTTGATTTCTGTTCTCTGTACCTCAGGCCCACACAGGTCCCTTCTTCCCTGAAGCCAGCGATTCCCCAAGGTTGCTACCTCCTGGGCAATGTGTCCTGCAATAACCCACAGAGAGAGAAGAGCTCTGTGCTCCTGGGGCCCAGAAGGATTCCTATGGTCTATGAATTCAACTAGATGGGCATACACTTATGGCATGGAGTATGGTGCATGCTATAGTATGGCCAGTTGCAACAGAGTTCACAGTGAATAATACAAAGCCAGAGTGTCCTGGGGTGGTTTAGTAGCTTCATGAGCCTTTCCAGTTTGTTATGAACCTGGCTCAATATCTGATGGAAGACAACATCCTGAGAACTTATCGCTTTGAGGAACAGAGTACAGCTTCCGCTTTAAGTTGCTGAGCCTGGCAGTGTGGCAGAAGAGATTCCTCATGGTGCATGTGGACATGAAATTTCTTATGAAACAGAAGGAAGTGAGTTTGAAGCAGCAAAGCGGGGAAGGCAAAATGGCATAGAACTTGGCATGGGTGATCTCACGATTTTCCAAATGCAGAGTGGTCAGTGTGGCTCCATTATGGCCCAGCAGAATTTGAAGGAACTTAGGACTAAAATCCTGATACAACTCAGATACAACAGATTTAGCTTTCTGGTCAGCTCAGTCTGGGGCAAGTGATGCTAAGCAGAGTGGGAAAGTCAGCAATCAGTTAATGAGAAGGGCAGAAAGGGGAGAAACCCGAGAAACATGCAAGGAACATGGGGCTAGAACAAACTAAAGACTGGCAGGAGCTAAACAGTGTATCTCTAATCAGTGCTGCTAATTCAGAGGACAAATCCTAATGAAAGAACCCCAAGGCATTTGCTTCTCAGTTATTGAGTATTTTTGAGGTGTGTTAAGAAAGCAGTTAAAATGATCATGGAACATGCATGTAGTTCACATGCAAATGTCTTTATTTTTGATCAGACAGTACATTCACCCAACATTCATCTGAACAGTGAAATTAGCTTTAATTTTCTGACTAGGGCCCAGGTCCCAAAGGTCACTTGCACTGTCAAGTCAGTTATTCTCCAAGATGGGCTGCAGGTCAATGGGTCCTTACATCTCACACAGTGAAAGAAGAGTTCCGTGTTCCTGGGGCCATGATGGAAATGTATGATGTATGCATTCATCTAGATGGAGATACAGGCTGAGCACGGATTAGGGTGAATTTTTAAGAATTTCTGGCTGCAACAGAGTTCACAGTGAAAAGTACAAAAGCAGACTGTCCTGGGATGGTGGAGAGGCCTCATGACTCTTTCGAGCTTTTGATGAACTTCTTCCCTCATTTGGTTGTGGGCACCATGTCTGGGAATGTAGAGGTCTTGAGGAACAGAGTACAGCTCCAGCTTCAAGTTGCTGAGCCTGGCAGTGCGGCAGAGCAGGTTCCGCATGGCGCCCATGCTCATGTAATTCCTAATGAAGCAGAAGGTAGTGAGCTGGGAGCAGCAGAGCAGGGAAGGCAGAATGGCCTGGAGCTGCGCATGTGTGATGCGACAGTTTTCCAAGATCAGAGTGGTCAGGGTGGGTGCCATATGGTCTAGCAGAATTCGGAGAGGCTCAGGACTAAAGTCAGCCAGCTTGACGCAACTCAAGTCGAAGTGTTTCAGCTTTCTGATCTGCTCAATGTGAGGAAGCCGATTCCAATCCGAGCGGGAAAGTCGGCAGTGAGTTAAGGACAGGGTCTCCAAGGGGGACATTAGGCACCTGTGGAGTGAGAAAGCAGTTATTTCTGGGAATTTGGGTGAAAAATAATGAGTTACAGGGAAACAAAATATTGACCCAGTAAGAGTTGAGTCAACCCCCCTTAGCTGTGACCTTCCCTTCACTTCCCAAGAGAGCTGTGCATCTTACCTGAGTGCCTGGTCCAAGTGGCCTTCAAGGAATTGCACAGAGTTCATGTGAATCTCTCGCAGACACTGAAGCTTTCCAAAGTGTGGCATGATTTGGGAGAATGAATACTCTCTCCTCTTTGGGGTGATGAGGGCAGGCGCTGAGATGGCAGAGAGTGTGAGTCTCTGAAGGTTCCTCATCTGGCCCAGGAAAGGGGCAAAAGGAGCCAAGATGCAGAGTGTCCAGTGGTGACCTACATCGAGCTCCTGCACAGACTCAAGGCTCAGCCTTGACAGCAGCTTCATGACCCGTTGAAAGCACGGGGCTCTAATACCCAGCTTCATGCAATGCAGCTGCACCAGGTCTTCCCTATCCTGGACCCACTTGAGCAGGTAGGTCTCCAGAGGATGCAGCCAATCCTGGTTGAGCCACAAGTCCAAAAGGACTCTGATGGGTTTCTTCTTTACTTCCTTTGGGCCCATCTTCTCTGCTTCTCTGCTACTCATGGCTGCTGAAGAGCAGACTTCCAAGCTGTTCTCAGCCCAGACCCTCCAGAAGTTGTGGTGCATGACTCGCAAATCAAGGATTTGCAGCTTGGAGCTCCTGTGGGTGAAGCAGGAAGGAGGGTGAGATTTTATCCCAGAGCCCACTTTGCTCCTCGGAGTTCCTCATGTTTGAGGTCAGTGTCTGTCCTCTCTACTCTTTGCAAGCTGCAGATTCCTGTTTGGCTTTTTCCCATTGGATCCAGCCCAGTCACAAGTTATGGTGCCGTGGTAGGAGTCAGAAACTTGTGATCCTTTCCTGCTGCCTCCCGCTTCAGCTGTCCTTTCCAGTAAGGTTTGTTCACCCACAGGTTCCCACAACATCAGTTTTCCATAAGCACCTTAAACACCTTTAGTGCCCACCTCACCTGACACTTTCTGGTCCCTACTGGATTCCTCTGTCCTCACCCAGAATTCCTGCATTCCACTCACCTGGAGCATGTCTTTAGGCTGAGCAGCACGCGAAGCCCATCAAGCACAGCATGGAACAGCCTTTCCTCCTCTCAGACAGCAAGCAATGTGTCTGGGTTCTTCATGCCCATCAGGTCTCCCAGTGGCAAGGAGGGAAAGGGCCAGGACTGCACCATGGCCTGTAGCAGCTCAGCGTGTCCCCTGATGAAGGCCTCCATGAATACTGGTGGATAGAGCTCACCAGGCAAATGTTGCATGGCCTCTATGGCCAAGGCATTGTCTCTTAGCAGGCTCTGAATGGCCAGATTCCGCAGTACATGTGGGGACTGGAGGCTCATTCTGATGAATCTGGAATTACAGGAGACCTGGGAGAACAGGGCGGACAGAGGAGTCCTTTCAGGCAAGGCTGGGCTATCCCCTCTACACCTACAGGCCACTAGCTGAGGATGGGGTACAGGCACCGCACAGAAGCGAATTACTCACCAGGTTCAGAATCCAGTGTGGGTGGCAGGGCTGTAGGAATCCTGGCAGGACCAGCAGCAACTGGAAGCTTCGGGGTGAGCATCTGTTCCTTTGATTCCCTCTTCTTTTATACCCTCTTTTTGGCCACACCCCAACCTGTAAGCTCCTCCCTTCACAGCACCACATGAGTGTTGATTGGTCCCTCCCTCACCACCCTGTTAATCCTCCCTCTCCGCCCTGTTAATACTCCTGTTGAGCTTCCCTGTTAATCCTCCCTAAGTCTCTGGAGTGCTCCGTTTGTAGTTCCAACATGCTTGCCTCTGAATTTGAGAAATCTTGCCTCAAAATCAAAATTCATATTTTCCTGAAATATATGCACTTAGAGTTAGCCCGTTAAAATGCACTGTTTCAAACTATGGGTGAAGTTATTGAGTATATCGTCTTTTGAATTTTGTCCTTGTGACTCCTGCCTACAACAATGGCTCTGGTTAACCTCTATCTTACGTTCATCCTCTTACCTCAGATTCTGTCATACTGGGATGGCAATTATGTGCCCCTAGTACCAGCCAGTGCTCCAGGTTTCTAAATCAAGTAGCCTGAAATTATCTTTTATGTGTTGTGATTTTCATAGAGATGTTGTGTGTATGGTGAATATGTTAAGTCGTTATTGTGTGTACTGAATGTAAAAATTGGTAGAACCTGTACAAGTCATGTTAAAAGTTGAGGGCTCATGCAGTGTGTGTAGCTCAGAGGTAGAATTCCTTTTTAGCATGAATTAATTCATAGGTTTTGTAATGTAACCACAGAACAAGACTCATAGCCAAGTGCGAAAATCTGCAATCCTAGTAGTTTTGATGTTTCTGTAGGAGGATAAGCCCAAGTTCAAGGCCAGTGTGGGCTACATAAATAATGCACAGCTAGCTTGAGCCAAACAATGAGACTCTACCTCTGAAAAAAGACGAACAGCCCACCCTAGAGTACGTGGTGAAAACATTAAAGAAGAATGAAGTTCCGGCCGAGTGCAGAAGCCAAGTTTGATGTGTGGTGTCAAATATTGGCATAATCCCCAAAATTAGCAAATGAGATTGGGCGTGGTTTGCCTTTCTGTTAACACAGCACTTTGGAGACTGAGAACAGGAGGAGCATTACGTGTTGTATCTATTTTCTGAGAACCTGTAGACCCTGTCATAAACACATAAAAAACTAAAAGAAAATCAGCTTCGCATGCCATGAAATTTACATTTACATAAGGAGAAATGGAGGTTTACTCAGAAACAAATTAGGAGACCAGAGAGAAAGAAAGATAGTCAAGGAAAGAAAGAAAATAAGGAAGAAAGGAATGAAGGAAGGGATGAAGAATGGAAGAACGAAAGAAAATGGAAAGGTAGAAAGAGAAAAGAATTGGAGGCGAGCTTGAGATGTAATGGCATCTATATCCTTCTAAGACAACATGGTGAATTAGCAAGAATGTGCAAGAACAAAACATACAAACCCATAATCCCAACACTCTCGGGTGCTGAGGCACAAGGCAGGTTGTTGCTTAGCTGGGCTGAGTAACATGTGAGTGATTACAAGCTTGTAAGCCAAACTTTACACAAGGCCCAGCCAAGTTGACACACACCTGTATTCCCATCACTGAGGAGGCTGATGTAAGAAGATCACTCTGATTTTCAGGCCAGCTTTAGCAGCAAAGTGAGTTCAAATCAACCTGGATTACATAGTAAAACACTGCACCAAAGGGACAATAAAGTAAACAAATAAATCAGGCAAATGCACTGAAATGTATCACGGTGAAAATGTCTTAGCTCCAATCCAATTTAGAAAAAAAGAACCCAGTGGACATGCATGGGGACAAATGCCTGCCATTTGAGCACTCAGGAGACTAAGTCAG